TGCTTCCTTCGTATGGGAAAATACAATCTGTTGTTTGACTGTGTATTGAGTGATTGAGGTTTCTTCACAGATTGCCGTTAGCTAGCAGCGCTACCGGCGTTAGCTTCGGAAATATGACTCTTTCCAAATTCAAGACATAAAAAAATGCATTTATTAAAAAAAACAGAAAAAAAGTTAATCAAATTTCAAGACATAAGTATGCGGGTTTTTTTTGTTTGTTTTTTTTATTACGACAGTCACACGTTGACAACTGAGCGAACAAAATTTCCCGCAGCACTGATTGGACAAGCGTTGTTATGTGATCATCTGCAGCCAGTGATGGCCAAGCGATACTTTTTGATGGCTTGTGTTCAACGATTTGGAAGTGCCCGTCCTCCATATTGTGACAGTAATACTTATTTGAATAACTATACTTTTTGATGGCTTGTGTTCAACGATTTGGATCTCTGAAGTGCCCGCCCTCCATATTGTGACAGTAATACTTATTTGAATAACATTGGCCCCACATTACATTTTTACACCCATGATTTTGTGGTTAGGTTGTTGTGGTGAAGTGCTTCCTTCGTATGGGAAAATACAATCTGTTGTTTGACTGTGTATTGAGTGATTGAGGTTTCTTCACAGATTGCCGTTAGCTAGCAGCGCTACCGGCGTTAGCTTCGGATACAAATAACCTAGAAATGGATAAAATGGACAAGTGTTTGCAGTTTAAACAAAGCAGTATATTGTTGTACCGGATCTCACTTGTTTGTGCAAGTGGCCATAATGTTGTGGCCTCTTTGGGAGGCACAATAAAACGCTTCTTCTCCTCCTATAGTATACTTTGTAGAAGTCGAGAGGATATATGCTGTCTGAAATATCTGGCAATCTGATACGACCGAGGTAACGTCATCCCCTCTGTAGCTCTGGAGAACTAGCACGTTTTGTCATGAGGGGCCTTTCAGCGCAGGACCTCCGGTGGGATGCGTGGGCCTCTTCAAAGTGACACATGTCGCTGCTAAGATTGAGGAGAGACATTGTCAGGACGCAACTGGGAGGTTGCGGGGCCCCAAGCTAAATGTAATTCTATATATTGAATTACGGGTTCCCCAACTGAAGGGCGGAGGGCTAAAATGAGTCGAGGCCAAATTCAAATTAGGTTATACTGTAATTTTTTTGGCAACGTACTTATCTTCTCTATGGATTTCTGTTCGGATGGGCCAGTTTTGGGCGGCTGTCTTGTGTCATACAAATGAGCCACTGCACACTTGGCTCAATGTGTTTTTTCACACTTTGTATGGTGGAGAAAGATGCGGAATTGCCACCTGCCGAAAACAAATACCGTGCGGCTTTGCCTCTGGAAAGCGGATGTTATGGCGAGAATTATGCTTCCAATGGCATCCAAACAGTCTTCTCTGGGCTCTTCCGATGGAGCCAAGGCAATAATAAACACGATTGGTCTTTTTTATGACATAATATTTCACACTGTTGAAACTGATGCACTTGTCTGTGCTGGTCATTTCCTAAACATGAATTTATTGAACACGATACTTAAGAACCTTTCATTTATGGGAAGAATTACTTGAAGCGGTTTGTTCTTTTCCATAAAAGAATATAACCAGTCTGTAATGTTGCACTGACCTAAAAAGAGAAGATTTAAGCTCTTTTATATTACCAAATATATTTTTTTCCTTATTACTCACAGTATTCTTTTTAGTTGACCATATTTCATTTATTGGAGAATTTACTTCTGGTGTTTTCTCTGTGCATTGTTCAGTTTCTAAAAAGAAGACAAACTACTGACTGGCTGACTGTAATACTTCCATGTGTGTTCGCATGCCCAAGTCTCTTCCCTCTCTCTGCTTTGCTCATGTCTGGAGTCAGTGGTTGTCACAGTATAATTTGCAGACATGTTTGTACAGATGAGCATGGGGGGGCACTGACGTGTTTGTTGACTCAGCGCACAGGTGTTACAATGTTGCTGCATTTTTTTTTTTTCACTAAACATAAAGCACACTCGTAGACACAAATGTGTTTTCCTCTGCATACTCATTCTCCACTAGTTTATACTTAGCAGGACTCTCCAACGATATGCTCCCAAGGCAATCCTGTGGCTTTTTGGGGGAGTTTTTGCCCATAAAAGGAGAAGAGGAGTTCAGTCGAGCTTTCCTGTGGGAGGGTTCCCATTTCGAGCACTCTGCATCTGATTCCCTTCTCTCCTCTCTTGTGTGTTCCAAAGGCCTCTTCGTCTTCATGCGGGGATAACACAACAGATGGTGTGAAATTGCGGAATATCTATTGTCAAGGGTCATTCTTACGTGAAAGAGTTTTGTCAAAGTTGCGTGAATGTGTGTGTGTGTGTGTGTGTGGTGTGCTGGCGGCATCCTGAGGGACCAAATAAGGCGCTGCGCTCATGATGTGACTTCATGTTTAAGTGCGTGAGCTTGTGCCACTGATATTTATGACTTCATGTTTAGTTAGGAGGAGGTCCTCAGGCAATATTGTCGTGCCAAATGCCTGAAAACCAAACTCCGCGCAAATGTCCAGACACGCCGTTGCAGAGAGAATCAAGCTTTTGCATCTTTTTTTCCACGTGCAATGTAACTACCGTATGGACTGCTCTTGTGTGTCTTCTGCAAAGCAGTTGCCAATTTATGACTATTTTTACTGACGTTTTTATTGGATGCACAGTATAATACGGCACCCTATTGTTTCGATGTCTCTGACGCACGTGTCATTGTCAATCCAAATATAGACTCTTTATTGATCCATGTGCAGTTTTCTTGGCACCTTCAATGCTGCTGACTACTCTTGCTGCGATTTACTTCGATGTCTACATAGATTTAATGCCATAGTATTCCATTCATGTATTATTCATCATTTAATCCGTGCTAATATGCAAAATGTAGTCTATTTATTGATACACAAAAGGCTTTTTTTGCTTCATATAATGCTGCTGACTGTTCTTGCTGCTTTTCACATTCACATCTGGACATATTGCAGGCTATGGTATTTCATTGACGCATTCTTATTTATGTAAAAAAAAAAAAAAATCCATGCTTCTATTTTAAAAAATTCTTGATCCATGTATAGATTTATCCATCCATCCAGCTATTATCTGAATTGCTTCATCCTCACGAGGGCAATGCTCAAGCCTATCCCAGCAGTAATCACAAGTGCCTTTGGTTGTCTGTTGATTACTATTTTTTCTTTTTATTTGTTTATATATTTATGTCTTTAGGTCATTTTTATGCAGAAAAAAAGAGTTAAAATAATCAATTAATAACATAGAAACATCTCATGAAGAGATGAAAAGGAAAGATGGAGAAGCCATGCTAATTGCTCCATAAGATTGAGACGTAACGAATGAACACCAAATCCATTCTTTAAAATCCAATATTTTGTGTAACGCGAGAGGAGAAATTGTTCGAATTGATTCTCAAAGGCGACGACAGGGTGAACGCAAGTTGATATTGAGATATATCGCTTATATGGTCACTGGTCACTTTTCTTATGAGCTTTATTTTTAGCTTCATGGCAGCTGGCACGTACAAGCCGAAAGCCATCACACATGAACGCTAATGTTACGCCCGCGCGCACACACACACACACACACACACACACACACACACAGGGACTAACTTCCTGCTTGCGAAAAATATTTGTCACTGTTTCGGTTGTCCCTATTGTGCAGGAATATATGAGAAGCAGGACCTTTCGCAAAATCTCACGAGAACACATCCAACAAATTACTTTTTGACAAGTAAACGCCCCGCTCCAAAAGAGGCATCTGTCTTTCCGTCATGAAAAACAAGACCGGGCAGTAGTCAATCACTCCAGTTAATCATGGAGCCCATCAACTAGTCGCCAAGTACTTTGGACTAATAAATGCCTCCGCCCCAAATAGCCGCCTGGCCCTCCCTGGTTCTCCTTTCCTTCTTCTCAAATGAAGAATGATTAAGAAATTAAGAAAAAGTCTATTGCTTAGGCCATCAAGTAGTCATCAGCTGTGTCATCCACTTACCAGAAGAAACACCAAATAATACCCCCCCCCACCCCC